AATTAGGTTTTATTGTGAATAGAATAATGATTTAAATTGCGAAATATAATGCTGAAAAATTCATGTTTTGGCCGGACTAAACTGCCACTCTCAACTTAAGGATTAGAAAAATGAAGATTACCCGCAAATATTCCATTTAAAGAACTTTGCAAAGGTCATAGTTTCCAAAAGCAACTCATATTTCTAATAAATTTCTGAAATACCCAGTTATTTATAATTTCCCTTCGCTTCAGACAAGTTTACGGAATGTCAGTAAATTACTCTTCTATCATCATCTATGAATTCTCAATATAGATTATCTCTCTCTTCCATTTATGGCCTCCCTCTATTAATCACACAAATTGCATTCGTACTTCTCTACGAAAGCCGTGAATGGGAGTGTATATCTCGTCCACAACTGGGGCAATGCCCGAGGTCGCATCCACCTGGAGGCGAACTCAGGCCAGATATATTTGATATCACCTGATAAAAAAAGGTCAGGCCGCCAAATTCAGCCGCATTTACACAAAGTTGAAAACAACGAAACCAGGCAAGAGCAAGTCGACGCACGCTCGGCTAGTGGCCACTTTGGTGGGTACTCCGAACGGCGCGAACTTGTAGACTCAAACGATCTGAAAAATGACAATACAAATGTCTGCAGCTTCGGCGAGGAAGTCGGGGTTACAGAGTCAACAAAGTGCCAATTGACTTCCGAGATTTTGGCTTTTGGTGTGGTGGGGTTTCGAGCATGGTCAGAAGATAGCATCAATAATGACAATGTAGGCAACGAGAGTACTCTCCTTCTTCATGAGCAGCCGGTGGCTGTGTATGCTCAGGTAGGCGATATTAATATGTTTCTCTATCCCCCATTATGTTGTTTCGCCTCAAAGAATTGATAAAAATGAAGTTCTAATTTGGGCTCACTATTAATCATGCAAAATCTGGGTACTATAAGTTGACATAGATTTACGAAATTGCATTATAGAAGAGTTTATTTAATATTTACATAATCTAAACGGGGTATAAGTTAATAATGTTTCTTTACTTTTATCAAAATATCCATTAATGTAAGGTTTATAGTCAGATTGTAACTAAAAACTTAAATATCACGGTTTATCCGCTAACTTTTACGCAGTTACGAAAGCTACACGTTTTTATAATTACTCATAGAGATTTTTTCATGGTGTTTTAATTCCCATTTAATCAAATTAACCCCTCGGTCTAGCTTGGCTTGATTATGCTACCAGGACCCGTAAATCATGATCAATATGCACATGATGTTTAAAATTATTTTTCTGAGTTTACAATTATTAAAGATAGTCTTGGACCTATATGAAAGCAAAAAGGGGTTTTATTAATTCCAGACTGGATTCCATCAACTCATAGTCAGAAAATTTCCCTACAACATTAGTTGCTTGAAAAATTTAGCAGTTGCTCGCTTGAAGGCCGGAGCTTAAAAGCGTTTTCAGCATTCCATGATAATTTGTGTTTTAGTGTTTTAGATTAAG